CATTTTACATTCATATGCAATATCATCACAGAAATTGTTGTGATAAGCGATATTATTGTCATTTTCTGATCATGTTATGCTACTGATTATAGAATGATTATACAACAGGATAATAATGCAAATAGCCATAAACACTTTGAAGAGACTAAGGTTTTACATTGTTAAGTTTATTTTTAGATTTTGTAATTTGATGTCAAAAATTATGTAAATGTCCTATTATTTATCCTATTAAATGTGCAAAGTAAAGTCCAATGTAAAAATGAACATTGGTCTATAAAGTACAATAAAATGTATTATGTGAATGTCCTATTAATAACCCTGACATCGGTTAGTAAAATGTAAATGTCCTTGTAAAAAGGCTTTAATGTTATTTGTGATTTTGTAAATATATATTACAACAAAAAATATTTAAGTCATGGGCAAAAATTGCACGATGAGTCCATATGTTGATTATTGTGATAGGCTTATTCAGTATGCACGTTTCAGAATATTTTGGATTGTAAAAATTGGAAAAAGAAAGGCTAAACTAAATTTCCACACCCCTCTATCAGCTGATTGTTTATACTTTTGAGCAAATGAAATGCCTTTGAGTAATCGTCAAATGTTCAACTTTTTGAACACGTTGATGTGCTTTTAGAATTTGTGTGCTTATCATGCACATTTTATGATTCAACACCCTTTTCTGATTTTCATCTCAGATTATGAGATGAATGTGTAAAGTAAACAAGCACATCGATCCTAATATTCTTAGATTATTCATATCTGGAAATGAATCAGATACATATGTGTCTTCCTTTTAAAAAGATCACGTTTTCCTGTCAATGCCAGTAAAATTAAAAAAGCCACTTTAGTGAATGACGTTCAATAAGGTGGCCACAGGTGGTCACATTCAACGGACACTGGTACAACAAATGACAAAAGCTCACTAGTCTGATTCGTTTAAAATATTACCATTATCATGCTATTTTGCTTTTCTAAGTCAGTACATTTACTTTGGGTTGTTTTACCAGGTACAGTGTAAATGATGTAGAATATGAGTCACTTTTAAAATAAGATATAACCTGGTGTCATAAATATTACATCTAATAGGGTTTCGTGGGATAGATCCTTATCTTCTCATCCAGTGGTCTACTGACTTGAACCTTTTAGGGGTAAATCTGTAAGGGCCTCTCTTATCTATGGCAACCTTATAAAAGAGAAATGTGGAAGTATTACTGTGATTTGGGACAGAGAACTTGAAGCAAAATCACAGATTTGATTGGGATTTAATTTGGCAAAACATATCAGTTTAAACTAAAAATTCTGCCCACCAATTGATAAACTACAAAGTATAGTAATTTATAGAATCTATTATACAACTCTAAAATGTTTTAGAATGAAACTTATTTCTTCATCTGTTTGTGTTAAATGTAATACTGGATGATGGGTATTTTTTATGTTTCCTGGAATGTCCCCAATCTACATTTATTAGATTAACGTCTCCACCATCTTGTCGCAAATTTTGACTTTAAATCAAAAACTAACTTTTTTCTCAGGATAACCAGAGAAACAATCATCAGTTTCTGGTTTCTTCCTAATCTCCTGTCAATTCAGCAATGGTTATACTATATTATGGACATTGTTTGACTAGAACAATCCACTTCCTTAATTACAGAGCAAAGATTTCAACAATTATTAATTGGAACCATACAAGACAATTTGATCTCCATTATTAAAACTTAAGTGATTTAATTTAGCGACGTAGGAAAAATGAGTAAGATGCCTTAAGATATAGGTGACAACTCTTTCTGTTTGATCCATTTAAATTTTATTAAGCACTTTTTTCATTTATGTACTTCTCTGACATTATGTATATAGTTTTTTCCTCCCTTTTATACTTATTTACAGGTTTCTGTAGTCATTTGCATGTATTCATATGTGTTTGTTTATGTGTACATATACAGTACATATAATTTGTAATTTTTAATTTTGCTTCATATTGTTATCAACCATGCTTTACACATTGAACTAAGTCAATGTTGAGGAATTTTGCTATTACCATGTACAATGTCAAACATTACATGTTTACTACAAAACACAATACAGTTTAAGTAAAAAAAATGACATATAATCAACAAATTAGCAAAGGTTTTTAATTGTTATGAAAATAAAAATAACATTTATATTTTATAGGAATATTTCAGTTAACTTGACTGAAGCATCACTTAGGTGATTATCCATATATAATTTATAAAATCAGCTCTATTTTCTCACTATATAATGCAATATAAGCCAAAAAAAGTATTTAAAAATACAAAACTTCTCAGATGATTTTAAAACGATTTTTTTAAAGAATCTTTCAATTGAATTATGTCATGCTTTACATGGTTAAAGAACAAAGCTGCCACTTCTACACAAGAAAAACTTTTCAGACCTCTCAAACAAAGTCCAGATTTATAATCGCTGTGCACTTCAGCGACTGAAGTGTGTCACGGTCAGAGGAAATAGTAATGAGGCTGAGGACCTCCACTCGTCTCATCACTGAACCCATCCCACATCTCTCTAGCCCTCTGCTGCGTTTCATCTGAGCATACATAATTACTTCTGCATCCATTCATTATTTGAGCCAATGATCAGTGGCCGTGAGACATATTGAGCTTATTGGGGCTTCTTGGCCACTCACAGGCCTGACCAAAAAGCAACATTGACGCACAGCGTGGTGGTGCACAACGATGCACTCAAATTATTTATTTAGATTCATTTTATATGTAGATTGTTTACTATTGTAAGATTGTGAGTTGCAGAAGCACGCATTTAAATAAAAAGTAATGTTTTAATATCATTGAGAATTTAATTGCAGTTACTACATTTAATTTAAATATTAAAACCTTTATTTTTGTTTTTGACCAAAAGAAGGCAAAGAAAACTTATTTAAAAAACATATTTTTACAAAGAAAATAAAACATCAAATTGGCTCAAATTAACAAAATTAAATATAGTAAAAAATAAATGAAATCTATTCTATAAATTCTAAAATGAAACAAAAAATATATTTTAATTTAAATTAAAATGTTTTATTTTAGGGACTCCTAAAAATTCCATAAAAACATATATGACCAAAAATGAGCTTACAATGCCTAAAACTTCTCCAAACACATAATTATGTGCCTATAATGCTCAAAAGTTTTGCATCGATCAATGACACCCACAAATTAATTATGCGTTCGTAATAGGGCTGCTCAATACATCGCTTCAGCATCAATATCGCAATGTGATCATTCGCAATAGTTAGAGTATATGCAATATTTTTTTGCATTATGTTTTTTGAGGCCTGTGACTGTGTAAGGGTTTTAAAAGCATTAGAAAATGTACCATTTGTAACTTTGAAAAATGAATAACGATTGATTTTATTGAATTGTTTGTAAAAAGAAGGCACTAAGCCGAAAAGTAAATGAATGAATGAATGAATTAATGAATGAATGAATGAATGAATGAAGACTATGGAGCATTGTTTTACATTTGATTAATCAATTATTGTATACCTGAATACATTTTGACTCTTCGGAAAACAATTAAACACAGTTTATTTAAATAGCATGTTTTTCTTTATTGAATGTATCTATGCTTGTAGATTGTTTGTTATATGTTATGCACCCTTTATGAATCATCGCAATCTAAAATGATAAATTCTTCTTTCCAAACTCATCTAGAGAAATTATATGTATATCGCAATATATATCACAGAATAAAAAATGATCACAATGTGTATCGTGCAGTCCTAGTCCAAAATTCCCCAAAATTAAATATGAATTATGTTAAAAACTATTTTTATTGTATTAACCTACTTTGGCCAAAACTGATACCACATTATGCACAAACTAAGCAATAAAAGATGGCTAAAATATGCTGCTGTATACACATACAGACAAAAAAAATATGCACATGCTTATGCTATGAAATACGCGTAAATATGCAGTACACACCTATGATGTCCATAGAAATATATAAACCTATAATGATGGCAGATAAATGCTACTGCAAGCATATATGATGCTTAAAAATGCTGCAGAGTTTAATGATGCCTATAACAATGCCATATGTGCTCAACATTTCCAAAATTGAGTGATGAAAAATATGTTTTGGTGCCTATTCCGCCTAAAAATGATCTGTACGTCAGTGAAAATTATGCCTAAAATATGCTGCATTCATTTAGGATTGCTAAATAAATCATAAATCTGACAAAAAACTATTTTGAAATTATAATTCCCACAAACAAGCACCCAATGTCCCAAAAAAGTAATGTACCGAAACATCTTATTCACCTAATAATGATGGCTAAATGCAACATTTGGTTTCACAAAATGCTGCAATCATGATGCTCACAGATGATGTCTAGGAAGGTAGCAGACTAGGTTTTGAGACACAGCCATGTTGTCACACTCATACATGCGTGGCGCAGCGCAGACACAACACTGACTCACATCCACGCATCCATGAACTTTTCTGGCACTGCACTATTGATAAACAGACCCGTCATACGACTCGTCATAATGTCAATAGCATGAGCAAATAAATGCAACAGGACAAGACATAAGCATACAAACATCAAGCTAACTTTACACTTTCAGTTGACTGAGCTCAAACTAGCAATTATGAGACAGCTTATAGGCTTAACAAAATATGCGAAGCTTAAATTTAAATTCGTTTTGTATCATCGTATTTCATTATACCATTGGCTGTTTGACTGCACAAAATATCAATGCAAATGACAACAAATGGAGATTTTTATTACAAGTTTGAATGGCATGTTTTGAAAAACGAAGTCTAGTTTTTAAACAAAGAAACTGTAGATTTCATCCACGAGGTTTCGTTTGTATGTTCATTTATCATGTGTGATTAGGTTACTGAAATATACAATCTGCATTATGAATTCAACGAACCTTGAAGGAGCACTGCGCACATTATGAAATGACATATAAAAAGACAAACAAGTTGCCAAGTACACATGAAATATTACTCACCCAAATATCGTGAGAAAACTATCCGCTGTTTTATTTATTTCTCAAAGTGACTTGTACTCTCGCGGTTGGAGGAGTAAACTGTACTTCAACAGAGAAACGCCACCTATTTGTTTCTTCCCTGTGATGAGGAGGATGAATGGAGCGGTTACGTTTCCCTTGCCAACACATTTGCATAAGGACCACCCCATGCGCAGTCTGATTGGCCAGTGTCACAGATTAGAGGCGCTATCAAAATCGATTCGTTTTCAATTGGATATTTCCAACTGTCACTCAAAGGAAACGGGCTCGTTGCGGCACATCTTACAAACTAGGGGTTGATGCACCTTCCTGCGGGCATCACTACATACCAGCAGAGGAAATGTGCATGTTTACTCGAGCAGGTGCTTATTTATTTGCATTACACAAGTAAACGTTTGTATATAAATGAATATACGGGTAAAATATATTTATATAAGCATATAAGATACATTATATGTGAGGGATTTTTAGATTTATGTATTTTTTGTCTGCAAAAAATGCACTAATTTACTCAAAACTTTTCAAAACCTCTAAATGCTAATGGAATCAGGATATTAAAATTGGTCTAAGGTTTATTGGGAAAAAGGAATATTGCACTCAAAAAAAAATATATATATATTTATATTACACTCACCGGGCACTTTATTAGGTATACATTACTACTCGGTTGGATCACCTTTTGCCTTTAGAACTGCCTTAATCCTTCATGGCATATTTAACAAGGTACATGAAATATTCTTTTAGTTGGTGCAGATTTGTCAGCTGGACATCCATTACGCAAATCTTCCGCTCCACCGCATACCAAAGGTGCTCTATTAGATTGAGGACAAATTCTCACCCTACCATCAGAATGTGGCCGCAGAAATCAATACTTATCAGACCACAACTTCTTATAGTCCAATTTTTGGTGAGTCTGTGGGAATTGTAGCCTCATTTTTCCTGTTCTTAGCTGACAGGAGTGGCACTCGGTGTGGTCTCATCCGCCTCAAGGTTGCTTGTGTTGTGTGTTCAGAGATGCTCTTCTGCATACCTCTGTTGTAACGAGTGGCCATTTGAGTTACTTTTGCCTTTCTATCAGCTCCAACCAATCTGGCTATTCTCCTCTGGCATCAACAAGGAATTTATCTTCCACAAAACTGGATATTTTCACTGTTTTGGACCATTCTCTCTTGGAGATAGTTGTGCATGGAAATCCCTGTGGATCAGCAGTTTCTGAAATACTCAGACCAGCCCATCTGGCACCAATAAACATGCCACGTTCAAAGTCACTTAAATCACCTTTCTTCCCCATTCTGATGCTCGGTTTAAACAGCAGCAGATTGTCTTGACCATATCTACATGCCTAAATGCTTTGAGTTGCTGCCATGCGATTGGCTGATTCGAAATTTGCGACAATGAGCAGTTGGAGAGGTATACCTAATAAAGTGGCCGGTGAGTGTATATGTTATTTGCCATAGAGCAATGTAGCATTTATCCAAGAAATACTTAATACCAAATATTAAAGGAATACTATATCTTTTAATAATTGAAGATATCATTTTGACTAAAAATAAGGCATTGTAAATAACAAAAGACTATAGACCATTTCAATGTGGTGATGCCATTGGTCCATAAACATTTCCTGCTTGTTATCAGTCTATTTCATAGCTGTAACAAGAAGCCATTTAATTTTAACTTAGTGTTAAAACAGCTGTCATTACATTATTTATCAATATGTGTCTCTTTTTGGATTCTCAGAAGCTATAGAAATTCAAAATGTTCAACAGGAAATACGTTTGGACCACTGTTTTTGTTTACATCCCTCAAAATAGTACATACTAATTGATCAATTACTGTACATATGTTAGACAATAATAGCCTACTTACTCCTGCACACATGCAAAACTGCATATAAATGAATGTGAAATTCAAATCAGATGAGCAGTATCTATTGTACAGAGATCTCATTGTTTGGAGAAAAACAAAATCTAATTTGTTCATTGATCAAAGCAGCTGAGAAAAGCTGTAAATCAGTAGGCTGCTGCTATTCAGATACCACTAGGTGACCTAGTGTTGTGCTGTTTCACACCCAATACCAAGTGCTCAATTCCAATTAAGATATCGACCGCTAAACAAAGGCTTGATTGGCAAGTGCTCTTCGGTGAGACAATATACCAATGTTTTGTCCTTAATCTCCTCCCTTCTTTATGCGTGTCTTGTCCTGTCCTTCCTCTGCATCACAGTGTCTTTAGGTCTCCTTATAGCATTACATCAGGAAGGGTGTAATTGTTTGCCGGACTCACCTTCACGCATATTCTGGGTCAGACTAAAAGAGCATCAGCAGACATGTCATGCATGTCCCTCCTGGTGTCCTCCCACTCCAGACTCGCTCTCTCTCTTTCTCTCAGATGAGGAAAACAGGACACCCAGCACTTTACAGGCAGGTGCCAATATAAAATGACGTTCTGAGAGGAAAGCAGCGGGTGTCTGGTTTACACCGTCTTGCTGTTTCTCATAGATGTGCAGCATTTGGTTAACAGTTGGTTCACAATGGGGGCTGTTGTCACAGGCAATTGAAAGTGCAGCGTTTTGCACTGTTGCACACACATGCTATTCCTGCAGTTGATCAGATTTAGCAGACCACATAATGATATTGGGAACTCTCACTGTGATGGACGATTCGTCTATTGTGGATTCTTCTTCAGCGTGCTTGTGGGGGGATTAAACATTATTTAGTATGTTTTAAACAGAGATATTGACAATAGGGTTGAATCTAGTGTCTTTTCTAAGATGATTGCTGCATCCGATTGAATATTTATACTATATAGCATTAGATTAATGCTGAGCAAAGAAGTCTGTACTGGAATATGCATAAAATTTACTGTGCATGCTGGTCCACAATTAGAATATATGCATAAATCTATAATAATGCCCAAAAATGCTGCTACAAGCACATATGGTGAATAAATGCTTCAGTTTGATAACACATAAAAATGTCATATGTGCTCATGATTGCCAAAAATGAGTGATGAAATATGGCTGAAATATGCCGTAGTAGATATTCTGCCCAAAAGTAATCTCTAATGTGGTGAAATAAAATGTCTAAAATGTGCTGTATTCATATATGACAGCTTCAGTAAGCTGCACAACCAGCTAAAAAGTTTGCTGGAAGTATTGCGAGACCTGGTAAGATTTTAAAGAGTGCATCTGATGGTTATTTTACTATCCCATGAGGCTGCGGGAGAGAATTTTTCTGAGAAGAGATGCTTGTACATTATGTGATAATGACAACATTCATTCATTCATTTTGGCTCAGTCCCTTTATTAATCTGGGGTCGCCAAAGCGGAATGAACCGCCAACTTATCCAGCACGTTTTTTTACAGCGGATGCCCTTCCAGCGGCAATCCAACACTGGGAAACATCCATACACACTTAATCACACACATACACTATGGACAATTAAGCTTAACCTATTTAACTATACCTCATGTCTTTGGACTTGTGGGGGAAACCGGAGAACCTGGAGGAAACCCACGGGAAGGCGGGGAGAACATGCAAACTCCACACAGAAATGCCAACTGACCCAACTGAGGCTCGAACCAGCGACCTTCTTGCTGTGAGACGACAGCACTGCGTACTGCGCCACCTCGTTGCCCATAATGACAACATGGCATATGCAATTCAGATTACATTTATACTACACACATTCATACTACATAGAACATTCTTTTTACAGTCACAAACTAAATGCTTGTTTGTTAGACAGTACACAATTTCACTTCAAGGTACATTATAAATGTAACAATGAGCCGGGATGGCAACTAGGGTTGAATTCAAACGCAGCTTTTAATTAAGAATGGTCATACAGGCAAGGCTCAATTAAGGAAAGACGCTAGCATATAGATAGTCCAAAGCGTAATTGGTGAGATAGGTAAAAGGTCAAGGCAGGCAGTGAAATAACATAAACAATAAACAAACAAGGGTCAAAAACACAGGTAGGAACAACAATGAAAACACTATAAAATCTATACAAGAAAACAAAACCGCAGTCACATTGCACTTTTTGCCCCATTCACTTCTATTCATACACATGCCAGCCCAGCAGACCAGGAACGTAAGCTCGGATGACAACTTTCGCAGTTTGTAAAGTTCAAGTTTGGTGAACTCTGATCTGTGAAATCGCATTAGATGATTGCGAGAGACCAATGGAAGATCCAAACATGGCCTATCTATACAAAAATTTTGGTCACACTTTACAATAAGGTTTATTAGTTAATGTTAATTAATGCATTTACTAACATGAACAAACAATGAACTATACATCTACTACTGTATTCATGTTAGTAAACGTTAGTTAATGAAAATTCAGTTGTTCATTGTTAGTTCATGTTAACCCACGGTGCATTAACTAATGTTAACAAGCATGGCCTTGAATGTTAATAATGCATTTGTAAATGTTCAATGATGATGAATAAATGCTGTACATGTGTTGTTCATGATTAGTTCATGTTGGTAAATGCATTAACTAATGAACCTTATTGTAAAGTGTTACCAAAATTTAAAAAATAGACCAATCAACCGCTTTTCAATCACCGTACAACAAAACTTTGCAAGCACAAACCCTAGTGTGACCATGGCTTTTGGTGCGTATATAGTTCATGTAATTAATCCTGAACAGCTTCAGCTGTGTGAGGGTATAATCAAGAGGTAATTTGGACCTGGTGTGTGAGTGAAGTTCGTGATGGGATATGTAGTTTGGGTGAAAGACAGGGCTTGTTCTCCAGCAATCTGCAAGAGCTAGATCGCTGGTAATCAAAACAATAATACAACCTTATATTTAATAGCATTTTCTCATACTTTTAAGTACACTATTTTTGTATTGACTAGCTGAAATTACATGAAAAAATAGACAATTAGGTTTAACTATTTGCATTTTCAAAATATTAAAAATATAATATTTACATAATAAGTAAGCAAAAAAGTATCATGAACATTAATATTTCACAATTTAATGGCACACATACTATTTTGTACTTTGGCTCAGTTTTATAAAACTTTATTTTGTAAAAGGAGAGGTCACCCCCTCTAAATAGGTCTTCTTTAGTGTTTGATTGAACATAAAAACTAAAACTTATTTGTAACAAGTC